TATAGCCTAGTCTATAGTCTAGTCTATAGTCTAGTCTATAGTCTAGTCTATAGTCTAGTCTATAGTCTAGTCTATAGTCTAGTCTATAGTCTAGTCTATAGTCTAGTCTATAGTCTAGTCTATAGTCTAGTCTATAGTCTAGTCTATAGTCTAGTCTATAGTCTAGTCTATAGTCTAGTCTATAGTCTAGTCTATAGACTAGTCTATAGTCTAGTCTATAGTCTAGTTTATAGTCTAGTCTATAGTCTAGTCTATAGGCTAGTTTATAGTCTAGTCTATAGTCTAGTCTATAGTCTAGTCAATAATCTAGTCTATAGTCTAGTCTATAGCCTAGCCCATAGTCTAGTCTATATTCTAGTCTATAGTCTAGTCTGTAGTTTAATCTATAGTCTAGTCTACAATATAGTCTATAGTCTAGTATATTGTCTAGTATATAGTCTAATCTATAGTATAGTCTATAGTATAGTCTATAGTCTAGTCTATAGTATAGTCTATAGTCTAGTATACAGTATAGTCTTTAGTCTAGTCTATAGTCTAGTTGATAGTCTAATCTATAGTCTAGTCAATAGTATAGTCTATAGTGCAGTCTGTAGTCTATTATAGTATAGTGTAGTCTGTATCTATAGTCTAAAGTATAGTCCAGTTTATATTCTAGTCTTCAGTCTAGTCTTTAGTGTGGTTAAGTTATTAATTTTAACAAAATCTTAAAATTAAAAAGTTTTCCATTCGTTTCATTGCCGTTCAAATTATAAATTTCAAATCGAATAAGTTTTGTATTTTTTTTTTTTTTTTCAAAAGTCTAACAAAATTTTAAATTCAATTACAATTTCGTTCTATGCCAATATTTTCTACTTAATTTTTTAACTAAATTATACATCCATAGAAAATAAAAAAGTTAAGTATTAAGTACTAAATTTACTTTTTTTGTCACTAAAAACTATTGGAAGGCCGTTCCTTTTTGAAATTTTCATTAATTTTCACTTAATTTTTTATAATAATTTTTTTTATAGAATTACACACATATTTTTGGAACAAGTTAACTTTTTTTGGTTTATTTTTGTTGTTTTTTTACATTTATACGAGTATAAACTACTTGTGTGGCCAATTACAATTCGTTTTATTAATTTAATAAAAAATTGGAATTATTTTGTAATTTTGTAACTTAGTTAGTAATTTCATAAATTTGATTTATAGTTAAGGGTTTTTTTAGATTTTAGTTTGTTAAATTAAAATTAAATTAATTTTACATAAATTCTTTTAGAATAGTTGCATTGTAGTTTTTAATTAAGGAGAGTTATAGTCATATGATTTTTCTTAAGAAATGTGGCAAAAATTTTTCAAAATTTGAAATATTTATAGTTAAATGTGTGTGAAATTAACCAGTCAACAATCTAGTCTTGTTAAATGTCCATAGTCTAGCCAATAGAGTATAGACTTAACTATAGTTTAGTATATAGTCGAAAGTTTAGTTTGTAGTTTAATACATAGTCCAGTTTATAGTCTGATCTATAGTCTAGATTATAGTCTAGTCAAAAGTTTATTCTGTAGTATAGCTTTAGTCTACTTTAGATTTCTCTATAGTCTAGTCTATTGTTTAGGCATAGCCAAGCCTATAGTTTAGTCTTTAATTTAATCTAATAGTCTAGCCTATAGTTTAGTCTACAGTTTAATCTATTGTTTAGTCTATATGATAATTTAGTCTATAGTCGAGCCTATAGTTTAGTCCATATTGCAGTCTATAGTCTGTAGTCTAGTCCATTGTCTAGTCTGTAGTCTAGTCTATAGTTTATTCTATAGTCGTCTACTGTCTTGTCTATAGTTTAATATAGTCTAAAGTCTAGTCTTTAGTCTAGTCTATAATCTAATCTACCTAGTCTATAATTTAGTCTATAGTCTAGTTTATAGTTTAGTCTACAGTTTAGTATGTATACTACATACTATTGTCTAGTCTACAGTCCTGCATTTAACATAGTCTATAGTTAAGTCTATAGACTAGTCTTTATTTCAATTTATAGTTTATTCTATAGTATAGTCTATAGTTTAGTCTGGTCTATAGTCTAGCATATACTTTAGTTTATAGTTTAATCTATAGTCTTACCTATAGTACAGTCTGTACTCTCACCTATAATCCAGTCTGTAGTCTAATCTTTATTCCAGTCTATAGTTTGGTCTACAGTCTAGTCTATAGTCTAGTCTATAGTCTAGTCTATAGTCTAGTCTATAGTCTAGTCTATAGTCTAGTCTATAGTCTAGTCTATAGTCTAGTCTATAGTCTAGTCTATAGTCTAGTCTATAGTCTAGTCTATAGTCTAGTCTATAGTCTAGTCTATAGTCTAGTCTATAGTCTAGTCTATAGTCTAGTCTATAGTCTAGTCTATAGTCTAGTCTATAGTCTAGTCTATAGTCTAGTCTATAGTCTAGTCTATAGTCTAGTCTATAGTCTAGTCTATAGTCTAGTCTATAGTCTATAGTCTAGTCTATAGTCTAGTCTATAGTCTAGTCTATAGTCTAGTCTATAGTCTAGTCTATAGTATAGTCTATACGTCTAGTGCTATAGTCTAGTCTATACTCTAGTGTATAGTCTAGTCTATACTCTAGTGTATAGTCTAGTCTATAGTCTAGTGTATAGTCTCGTCTATAGTCTAGTCTATAGTCTAGTCTATAGTCTAGTCTATAGTCTAGTCTATAGTCTAGTCTATAGTCTAGTCTATAGTCTAGTCTATAGTCTAGTCTATAGTCTAGTCTATAGTCTAGTCTATAGTCTAGTCTATAGTCTAGTCTATAGTCTAGTCTATAGTCTAGTCTATAGTCTAGTCTATAGTCTAGTCTATAGTCTAGTCTATAGTCTAGTCTATAGTCTAGTCTATAGTCTAGTCTAGTCTAGTCTATAGTCTAGTCTATAGTCTAGTCTATAGTTAGTCTATAGTCTAGTCTATAGTCTAGTCTATAGTCTAGTCTATAGTCTAGTCTATAGTAGTCTAGTCTAGTCCTATAGTCTAGTCTATAGTCTAGTCTATAGTCTAGTCCATAGTCTAGTCTATAGTCTAGTCTATAGTCTAGTCTATAGTCCTAGTCCATAGCTAGTCTATAGTCTAGCTATAGTCTAGTCTATAGTCTAGACTATAGTCTAGTCTATAATCTAGTCTATTAGTCTAGTCTATAGTCTAGTCTATAGTCTAGTCTATAGTCTAGTCTATAGTCTAGTCTATAGTCTAGTCTATAGTCCTAGTCTATAGTCTAGTCTATAGTCTAGTTCTATAGTCAAGTTCTATAGTCTAGTCTATAGTCTAGTCTATAGTCTAGTATATTCTAGTCTAGTCTATAGTCTAGTCTATAGTCTAGTCTATGTCTAGTCTATAGTCTAGTCTATAGTCTAGTCTATGGTCTAGTCTATAGTCTAGTCTATATTCTAGTCTATAGTCTAGTCTATAGTCTAGTCTATAGTCTAGTCCATAGTCTAGTCTAGTCTATAGTCTAGTCTAGTCTATAGACTAGATTATAGACTAGACTATAGTCTAGTCTATAGTCTAATCTATAGTCTGGTCTATAGTCTATTCTATAATCTAGTCTATAACCTAGTCTATAGTCTAGTCTATAGTCTAGTCTATAGTCTAGTCTATAGTCTAGTCTATAGTCTAGTCTATAGTCTAGTCTATAGTCTAGTCTATAGTCTAGTCTATAGTCTAGTCTATAGTCTAGTCTATTGTCTAGTCTATAGTCAATTCAATAATCTAATCTATAGTCTAGTCTATAGTCTAGTCTATTGTCTAGTCTATAGTCTATTCTATAATCTAGTCTATAGTTTAGTCTATAGTCAAGTCTATAGTCAAGTCTATAGTCAAGTCTATAGTCAAGTCTATAGTTTTTATATAGTCCGCATAGTCGGATAAATACCCGGAGATCAATTGGAACTTTTCATAAAGACAAAAATTTTCAATAAAAAAGTTTAAAAATTCTCTTAAAATTAACTAAAATTTGAAATGATTGTCAAGTTATAAGAAATATGTAGTTGTAAAACTGGATCAAGATATATGTAGAGTTTAACAGATTATGCTACAAATAAATACTTTTTCCTAACAAAAAAAAGTACTTTTTAAAATAGTATTTCAAAAAATGTTTAAAATGAAATAGTTTTATTAAGAATTTATTGCCTTATAGTTTATACAAAAACAAATTTTGAAATATCATAACAGTTTCACTTAATTATATTTAAAGGTTTTTTCAATTATTTTCAATAAATTTTGTATTATTATTTGTTGTTAAATTTATAAAGTAATTAATGTTGCTGTTGTTTTCTTATGTTTTTGTTTCTATTTTGTCTTGTTATTATCAATTGTTAATCATTTTATGTATTTTTCTTTAAATATTGAAATTCCTGTTTAATATTTTGTTAAATATTTTCAAAACAATTCCGTTTTAAAGTTGTTAAAACTTGTCGGAGAATAATTGTCCGAAATTGTGGTAGAATAATTTTGAAATTTGTATAAATAAAGTACTTTTAAAAAGAGTACTATTTTCAAATTTTAAAAAGTTTGGTTAAAAAAACACTCTCCTTTATCATCTCATAGTTTTAAAATGTGCTTGGTCCATTTTAGAAAAATTTACTCCATTGGCTTTAAATAATAAAAAGTACTTTTTAAGTAAAATAACATTTAATTTAAAGCTTTTGTAAGCATTTTTAAGAAATTTATTCAATTTAATGCAAAACCTTACAATTTCAAACAATTATTTCCATTTTAGTTTTAATTATTTGTTAGTTTTAAGTTAATTTTATTATTTTAATTTAATTATTGTATTTTTCTATTAAATTTGTCCACTATTTCAATTCGTTAGGTTTTATTTTTCTTAATTGGTGGTTTTATTGGTTGCCTTTTCTTTTCTTTTTAATTTAATTATTTTCTTTTAAAGTTTTCTTTATTAATTTCATAGTTATTTTGCCAATTAATTTAAAGTTTTCTCATTTTTTTATATTTGTAATTATGGCAGGATTTATTTTATTTTTAGTTTCATTTTTATTTTATTAAATTTACTATTAATACCAATAATTTTAATTTTTTTATCTAAAATTTTATTTTTTTAATTTCTTTACTAAACAAAAATATTACTAATATTTTTTACTGGTGTATGATGAGCTCTCTCGTTCACTTGTTGGTTGGGTTTTTGTCTTTCTTTAAATTTCTTTTATTATTTATAGTTTAATTATTAACTTTAAATACTTACTTTAAGTAACAACATTTTTTTCTTAATTTTTATATTTTTGTTAATAATTTTTTTTGTGTTTTTTCTAGATTTTTTTGTTGCTGTTTAAAGATCTATTAAAGATATTGTATTACGATTATTTCGTATTTCATAATCGGTTGCGGGTCATCAAGGTCATTATCGAACATTTGTAAAGATCTTGTGACAAGATCATCTTTAAGGCATGCCTCCAGAAATTCTTCAATTGTTATGATACCGTCTTGATTAAGATCGAGTTTGCGAAAAACACGATCGACCTGTAAAACAAAACAATTACAATTTAATTCTTATTATAGTCTAGTCTAGTCTAGTTCATTGTCTAGTCCATAGTCTAGTACATTGTCTAGTCCATAGTACAGTCCACAGTCTAGTCCATAGTCTATTCCATAGTCTAGTCCATAGTCTACGCCATAGTCTGGTCGATAGTCCAGTCCATAGTCTAGTCGATAGTCTAGTCCATAGTTTAGTCCATAGTCTAGTCCATAGTCTAGTCCATAGTCTAGTCCATAGTCTAGTCCATAGTCTAGTCCATAGTCTAGTCCATAGTCTAGTCCATAGTCTAGTCCATAGTCTAGTCCATAGTCTAGTCCATAGTCTAGTCCATAGTCTAGTCTATAGTCTAGTCTATAGTCTAGTCCATAGTCTAGTCCATAGTCTAGTCCATAGTCTAGTCTAGTCATAGTCTAGTCTAGTCTAGTCATAGTCTAGTCATAGTCTAGTCCATAGTCTAGTCATAGTCTCAGTCATAGTCTAGTCATAGTCTAGTCTATAGTCTAGTCCATAGTCTAGTCATAGTCTAGTCATAGTCTAGTCATAGTCTAGTCAATAGTCTAGTCATAGTCTAGTCATAGTCTAGGTCATAGTCTAGTCATAGTCTAGTCATAGTTCTAGTCATAGTCTAGTCATAGTCTAGTCATAGTCTAGTCATAGTCTAGTCATAGTCTAGTCATAGTCTAGTCATTAGTCTAGTCATAGTCTAGTCATAGTCTAGCATAGTCTAGTCATAGTCTAGTCATAGTCTAGTCATAGTCTAGTCATAGTCTAGTCATAGTCTAGTCATAGTCTAGTCATAGCTTAGGTCATAGTCTTAGTCATAGCTCTAGTCATAGTTAGTCTAGTCTAGTCATAGGTCTAGTCATAGTCTAGTCATTAGTCTAGTCATAGTCTAGTCATAGTCTAGTCATCGTCTAGGTCATAGTTCTCTAGTCAATCGTTCTAGGTCATAGTCTAGTCATCGTCTAGTCATAGTATAGTCATAGGTCATAGTAGTCATAGTCTAGTCATAGTCTAGTCATAGTCTAGTCATAGTCTAGTCATAGTCTAGTCAGTCTAGTCATAGTCTAGTCATAGTCTAGTCATAGTCTAGTCATAGTCGTCATAGTCTAGTCATAGTCTAGTCATAGTCTAGTCATAGTCTAGTCATAGTCTAGTCATAGTCTAGTCATAGTCTAGTCATAGTCTAGTCATAGTCTAGTCATAGTCTAGTCATAGTCTAGTCATAGTCTAGTCATAGTCTAGTCATAGTCTAGTCAGTCTAGTCATAGTCTAGTCATAGTCTAGTCATAGTCTAGTCATAGTCTAGTCATAGTCTAGTCATAGTCTAGTCATAGTCTAGTCATAGTCATCTAGTCTAGTCATAGTCTAGTCATAGTCTAGTCATAGTCTAGTCATAGTCTAGTCATAGTCTAGTCATAGTCTAGTCATAGTCTAGTCATAGTCTAGTCATAGTCTAGTCATAGTCTAGTCATAGTCTAGTCATATCTAGTCATATCTAGTCATAGTCTAGTCATAGTCTAGTCATAGTCTAGTCATAGTCTAGTCATAGTCTAGTCATAGTCTAGTCATAGTCTAGTCATAGTCTAGTTCATAGTTTAGTTCATTGTCTAGGCTACAATGGTTTTCTGGATCCTAGTGTAGTCCATATTCTCGTGCATATTCCAGTCCATAGTCTGTTTCAAACCCTAGTACATAATCTAGTCCACTGTATGCATCATAATCAAGTGCACTGTCTAGTCCATAGTCCCACCCACCTGATCTCTGGCTTTTCTATCGTCCTCCGGCTGATGTGCCCTCCGACCCATCAGTTCGTGTATGGCCAAAACAATTTCACTCAATTCCGAACGACTGATGCGACCATCACCATTTAAATCGTAAAGTTTAAATGTCCAACGTAAACGTTCGTAAACTGAACCACGTAATAATGTTGACAGCGTTACTAATAAATCCTATAAATAACGAGACCAAGAAAAAAACAACAACAATTTAGACAGAATAAAATGAGCAACAAAAGTGACAAAAACAGGATATAAAAAAGAGAAGTTGAAAAGTAAATAGAGATTATAAAATAATAAGCCAATATTTATGTTGATTCCATAAAATTTATTACCCGAAAACTGATGGCACCATTGCAGTTCACATCGAACGCTTTGAACACATAATGAGCGTATAAACTTGAATCTATAATAAAAAGATAATAAAATGAGGTAAAATAAATATTGGAGGAAAATGGTTTAAAAAATGTGTGCAAGTGTAACAGCATCATAGATAAAGCATGTACTTTTTATGACTGCTACAGTGGAACCTGGTCAATAGAAACCATTTAACAATTTATTTCAATTTTTAACTAAAAGTTATTTTATTAAGGCTCTACTGTCTGTAATGCATTAATGCTGTTTGTAAACAGATTTTTTTCACTTTCTGTTTATTTAAGCAAACGATAAAATTCACAAAATAAAAAACATGTGTGTGTGTGTGTGTGTATTTTATATTTTAATTTTTTTATTATTTACTTACTGCCATGTGGAAAAAATTTTGCATAAATATCCTTGAAACAGTCTTCGTGCACCACACCTTCAGGACATTCCTGTTAGTTGTTAGAGAGTGTGAGTGTGAGCAGGCGGAGGGGAAGAGAGTAGAAAAGAAAAACATTAAGTGAACAACGGAAACATCGTTTTAAAGGAAGTCAGACAATCAGTCAGGCAGGAAGGCAGGCTCACAGTCAGTTAGTGATGCCAAATCTACATGTTGTTGCTATTGTTATTGTTGTTCGTTTACAACAAATTGCATTAGTTTTCTTAACATTTTGTGCAAATTATTTGCATTTGTTCGCATACAAATGTCAAGAGAAATGTTCTTTTTTTTCAGTGTTTGTTCAATTGTTTTCATTGTTTCAAGTAGATTTTTATCAAACGAACAGGTAGATAGATGCTAGACAGAGGTGTGAAGGTATGCAATGATTAAATATTTTATTAAAATTATTAGATTGAGGCCTCTACTATGAATTTGAATAGAAAATATGGACTAGACTGCAGACTATGGACTAAACTATGGACTACACTAAGGGCTAGAGTATGGAGTAGACTTAGTGCTAGACTAAGGACTAGACTAAGGACTAGACTAGAGAGGACTGGACTAGACAAGACTAGACTAGACTAGACAAGAGTAGACTAGACTAGACTAGACTAGACTAGACTAGACTATGACTAGACTATGACTAGACTATGACTAGACTATGACTAGACTATGACTAGACTATGACTAGACTATGACTAGACTATGACTAGACTATGACTAGACTATGACTAGACTATGACTAGACTATGACTAGACTATGACTAGACTATGACTAGACTATGACTAGACTATGACTAGACTATGACTAGACTATGACTAGACTATGACTAGACTATGACTAGACTATGACTAGACTATGACTAGACTATGACTAGACTAATGACTAGACTATGACTAGACTATGACTAGACTATGACTAGACTATGACTAGACTATGACTAGACTATGACTAGACTATGACTAGACTATGACTAGACTATGACTAGACTACTAGACATGACTAGACTATGACTAGACTATGACTAGACTATGACTAGACTATGACTAGACTATGACTAGACTATGACTAGACTATGACTAGACTATGACTAGACTATGACTAGACTATGACTAGACTATGACTAGACTATGACTAGACTATGACTAGACTATGACTAGACTATGACTAGACTATGACTAGACTATGACTAGACTATGACTAGACTATGACTAGACTATGACTAGACTATGACTAGACTATGACTAGACTATGACTAGACTATGACTAGACTATGACTAGACTATGACTAGACTATGACTAGACTATGACTAGACTATGACTAGACTATGACTAGACTATGACTAGACTATGACTAGACTATGACTAGACTATGACTAGACTAGACTAGACTATGACTAGACTAGAGTATGACTAGACTATGACTAGTCTATGAAATTTTGTTTGCACTATGACTACACTATGACTACTCTATAACTACACTGCATTCCTTAACAAATCTGTTAAATTTTCGGCGACGGTTGTTTATCTGCATCATGTCAGAAACTGCCTGCATTCATGCAGAAGAAATTTCACAAATGCGATAAAAATCACACGAAATGAATTCGTAATGGAATTAAAAATAATACGAAAAAGAACAGAAAGAATAAAAAAAACTTACCGTTTTAAATCCTCTATACATGACACGTATTTCCTGTTTTGTAAATTTTGTTTGACGGCACAAATCCTCTAGTGCAACGGGTATTGGTTTAGGCACTCGTGTTTGTTCTAGTTCATAAACCACCTCCTCGATGGACTTTCAGGTGGCGAAGCCATATTTATTTAAGCAATGATGTTAAAATATTTACTTTCTTTCTTGTTTCGTTTTAAATGCCTGGCTCTCTTGCGCTCTCTATATCGCCTTGACTGTTTAAGGTTATATGTTTTAATAACGAAAGGATGTGAAAGGTGAATTTGTTGAGTGATATATGTAATTGTTAGTAGGAAAACATGTAAACTTGATTTTTTATTTTAATTTGGCTGATTTTTCCGTTTAAAGATGAGGTTTTCAAGTCTTTGAACAATTTGATGTTTGTAGTTTGCTGTTGTGTTTTGTTTGGCTTTTTCTAAATTCGCTCTTAATTGTTTCCAGGATTTTTTTTTTAAATTTTTTTTAAGATCGTTGCAAATGTAATAAAAATGGTGGTAGTTGTTGTGTTGCAGCTTCTTGTTGTATTTTTTGTAATTTATAAAACTATTGCATTTTTAATATTGTTTAAAGTTAGTAGTTTATTTAGTATTAAGTTAATATTTTTTTATAGTTATTGTTGTTTAAATTTTTATTTATATATTTTTTTTTCTGGTTTTATATTCCATCAACTGTTAACTTTTGTTGTTAGCTCGGTGTACTTTAGTTTAATATTAGTTTTAGTTGTAGTTTTAGTTTTGTTATGGTTCTTCTTGATAGCAGTTGTTGTTTTTTTTTTAGTTTTTTGATGACGAACTCAAATTATAAAAATGAAATGTTGTTTAACTGCAACGAGATATGAAAAAAGAGAAAAACATTTTAAAAACTTTTTCAAATTTGAAATTACAGTTAAATAATAGTCAAACAAATGTAAACTATCAATCATATTTTGCTTAAAACTTTGTTATAAATGGCGAAATGGTATTTTTTCCTACAGTTTTACAAAACTTTTATGTCAGATTAAAGTGAAGTTTTTTTCTAAAAGGAAACCAGTTTAATAAATTGGAGTTTTTGAATATAAAACAGAGATAAATTGATATGAATAAAAAATACATTTTTAATAAATGCAATACTAAAGCAAAGTTTTAAAGGAAAACTTCAACTAGACTTAAGAATTTTCATAGAAAAAGTTGCTCTAGTCTCCAGCAAGTTTTAATACAAAAAGTTGCTCTGGATTAAATCGACATTTTAAAGTATCTTTAAAAAGTTTAAATTTGCTTTAAAGTATCGCAAGTTTTTGTTGAAAAAGTTGCTACAGACTAGAACCAGTTTTTATAGGAAAAGTTGCTCAAGACTAGAGCAAGTTTTTATAGAAAAAGTTGCTCAAGACAAGAAAAAGTTTTATAGGTAAAGATGCTCCAGACTAAAGCAAGTTCTTATAAGAAAAGTTGTTCTACACTAGAGCAAGTTTTCATAGAAAAAGTTGCTTCAGACTAGAACAAGTTTTTATAGGAAATAATGCTCTAGACTAGAGCATGTTCTTATGGGAAAAGTTGCTCTAAATTAGAGCAAGTTCTTATAGGAAAAGTTACACTAGACTAGAGCAAGTTTTCATAAAAAAAGTTGCTTCAGACTAGAACAAGTTTTTATAGGTAAAGTTGCTCCAGACTAGAGTAAGTTTTTATAAATAAAGTTGCTCTAGATTAGAGCAAGTTTTCATAGAAAAAGTAGCTCCAGACTAGAGCAAGTTTTTAAAGGAAAAGTTGCTTTAGACTAGAGCAAGTTTTTATAGAAAAACTTCCTCTAACTAGATAAAGTTTTTATGAGAAAAGTTGCTTCAAATTAGAGTTAGTTTTTATGCGAAAAGTTGCTCTAGATTAGAGCAAGTTTTTGTAGAAAAAGTTGCTCTAGGCTAAGGAAGGTTTATATAGAAAAAATTGCTATAGATAAGAACAAGATTTTATAACAAATGTTGCTCTAGATTACATTAAGTTTTTTTAAGAAAAGTTGCCTTAGAATAGAGCATGTTTTTATAGGAAAAGTTGCTCTAGACTAGAGCAAGTTTTTATAGGAAAAGTTGTTCTAGACTAGAGCAAGTTTTTCTAGAGTATGTTGCTCTAGACTAGAGCAGGTTTTTATAAGAAAAGTTGCTCTAGACTAGAGCAAGTTTTTATAGAAAAAGAGCAAGTTTTTATAGAAAAAAATGCTCTAGACTAGAGCAAGTTTTTATAAGAAAAGTTACTCTCGACTAGAGCAAGTTTTTTTATAAGAAAAGCTGCTCTAGAA